TTAATGGATTGGCTTCTTTAGCGAGTTGTTATAAAAGGCAGTCCCTAAGCTATTGGCTAAGGCTGGATGAGACAGTGGAATAATGGATCAGAGCAGCATTCCTAAGCAACATAGATCAGGAGTGAGGAGATATTCCCTCACTCAGATTCTTATCCTTGCAGATGCACAGGCCGTTTGCACATTGTTACCTTTAATGCAATACTTATTTCTTCCCCAAGTGCCCCATTTCTTGGCAAGGCTGAAATATTTAAACAACACATATATTTCTGTATCAAAAGATGAGCATATGAAATGATGCCATCTCCCCGGTTTGCCTTAATCAAATTGGCTAGTAACTTACTGAGGGCAGGATCAACGGTAATACTTTAAGAATGGAGAAAGAGCAAAGAAAACTGGAAACATCTGTTTCTAAGTATGTCCTTTTGCAGACAGTATTGTACTGTGCTTTTAAAAATATGTATTCCAGGACTACTTTTTATTCTATAGACCCAACACCTCTGTGTATCTGTCTCCAAGGCAACACAGAATAATAATAGTGAATGGTGTCATCATAATACATTTCCTTACTAAAGAGCTCCAGCATAGAGAATGATTTATGGATTCATATGACATCCGCAGCTTCACCAAAATACCTCTTGGACACATTTTCGCTTTTCAGCAGCTTCAAAGAAAATCCTCAGTTCACTGGAGTTTCAGAAAGAGCTAAGCCAAAAGCACCAGAGGCAAATGAAAGCATTAATTAATTCATAAACTACTCTTGACACATTTTTGCTGAATTCTTTCATTATGGCTAGCACATCTATTATCTTGCTCTTTAAATTCTGAATTGTTGATTTTATGCAAGCTGATAACATATTTTCTACATTCAACGGGGGAAAAATCCCTTACTTTTCATGCTTTATTTTAGAATATTGATCCCACAAAAAGTCTTCAATTCTCTTTGCATGTACTTGATGTAGAAGATGACCAGGTGGAACCCAAGAGTTGAGTCAAAGATGTCATCAGTTTGAAGTCATTACATTCCTACAAGACACCCAAGTCCAGCCCCTCCCCACCCCCACAAATTCTATTAAGCCTTTTCTGGCTCCAATTTGGTTTGACTATTAGTAGATCAGATTCTTTCCATAGTTAGCATGAAATAAACTTTTAGTGCTTTGAACTCTACTCCTGTTCCTGATTTTTCTGCACCTGCCACCAGATGAAACATTTCGCTATCTGTATTCTATACTGCATGTTAATATGCCTCCTATTCTTTAACTGGTTTCAATTCTTTTCTGTCTTTATGTCATCAATATGTTGTCAGATTCCATCACTTCATTACCATAACCTCCATAACAGCAACAATCCTTGTCATTTCAATTTATTTATCTATTCTGGAACTTGATAGGCTTCATTCACACGTAAGATTGAATACCAAGTTGATTTGCTAGTTTCAGATTCTGTCTCGTGCTGTGCCACAGCATAGGATAAGGTTGTACAATGCACATGCATATTAGTAAATCAGAGAAAGAGTGTGTGTTCTGTAAATAGAGTCTGTATTTTATCTGAATAACACTTGCCCCAGCTGTGGAGAATAGCAGAACTAAGAGGAAAGGTATTACAGCCTGAATCATTAATGCAATGGGAAGATTGCATCTTCCCTTATCTCCTACATCCGGATGGAAGCTGTTCTGGTTTAACCCATTAGCCAGAAAACAAACAGATACTGTGAGTTGTTTTGCCCTTCTCTGCCATTAGAACATTTAATTCTAATTATCAGTTGCCATAGGACTGAACTTCTGAAGGAAAGAAGATAGGTGGACAATACAATATAAGAGATAAAATATTCAATTAAGATAAAATAATAATAATAAATCACCATACTAAAATAATAATAATAAAATCACCATACTATGCAATCAAGAATAGACATTATATTTGGTATCTAAGGAAGCTAGCCTGCTAAGGAAGCTAGCTAGCATGCTTCTGATGTGGCCACAATGAAATCATCCCAGTTGCCTTGAAATTTCCTGAAGAGACATTCTTCAGTTATATGTATTATAGCTTTTTCCAGAGCACCACAATCACATTGCAGGCCATTCACCACTTAAAGAGCTTTGCCTTAGTACTGATTCACCACTTAAAGAGCTTTGCCTGACCTGTACTGATTCTATTCAGGTGGCTCCAGATTTGAGGGAGAAACTACATTCTTGGAAGTAGTTTTTTTGGATCTGCATGATATCTCATTGTGGTTATTAAAGGTTTCCCATCTTAAAAACGTCTTCAAAGAAGAAAAAAAAGAAAGAAAGTCCAGTTGCTTCCTGAAAAAGCACTTTTGGGACAACCATGACCTGGATGACTGAGAATCTCTACAGAATTTTTGCCCATCTTAAACATCAATCTTCATCGAGATCATAAGACAGTGATATGTTATCCCAAATTGGTTTCCTAGACTTATGCCTAGTGAGAGGAAAAGAATGTAATATTTTGTGTATTGGAAGGTCTCTGGGAGTCAATGGCATGTTTACCTTATTCCACTCTCAAACTATCTGCTGTTGTTGCCTGAGATCAGGAGGAGCAATGTTAGAAAGAACATAGAGCAGCAGTGTGTTTCAAAAAAATTTTTACCACCGGTTCGGTGGGTCTGGCTTGGTGGCTGCACTTTGCACTTGTGCACACACTTTGTGCATGCATGCACCAAATGCGCACTTTGCACAGGTGCAGAGACGTTTTGACTCACCTCCTGCAATCCTGCATTCTCACTGTCGCTTCAGCAGTTGCCACGCAGCAATCTGCTGGCCACACAAAGTAGCTGTGCTTCAAAAACAGGACAGAAGGTGAGAATGGGAGCCCAGGTGGGCCCAACAGCAGTTCCTCAGAGAGAACCAGTTTGGTCTCCGCTGCTAATCGGTGCTACCAGCTCGGCAGAACTGGGCCGAACCAGTAGAATATCACTACTGATATAGAGCCATGAGAATGGTGTGGATTTAAGGGTTCCAGATATTATTTCTATTGTGCCATAAAGGTGAACATCAATCTTATTATTATGATAACTTCTTTCTCATATACGTGCTCAGTCTTTGGCAACAGAGTATATTCATGATTGTGCCATTATACACAGTGCTTTCTCTTGTGCTCTCCAACCTGTTCCCATGATTTTCCTCATCAAGTTGTTCCTGGCTGTCAATTACTTCAAGATGTTTTCCAAATGTAAAGCATCAGTCAAGGAACTTTCTGAGATGGTTTGGATGGTAGCAGTCTGAACCGGTAGAATCCCACCCCTGTTCTTTCCACAACAGGATATGTTTAACTCTTTCTTTGTTGTATGATTGCTTTGATGGAAAGTGGTTGTCCTTTCTTTCCAGGCTGGGTTCCACACAAAGAGCAAATTCTGGCTCTCGCTTCGTTTATCAAAGCTGGTTTCTAAAAATGACTAAAAACTTCCATAGCTTTTATTGATTCGACTGCAGCTTATGGCATGGTATGGCTTGATGGTTGGATGCTCAAGCTGAAGAAAACTTCAGCTGTCTTAAAGTATTCTGTCTTAAAGTAACAGGCCTTCTGGAAAACATGTTTTAAAAACCTGATAATTCAAGGTCACTGTAGGAAGCACTAGTAAATCCTTTTCCATTAAGAATGACTTGCCACTGGGATCAGTTCTAGCCCCATTCCTAACTACGTATATACTAGTGATTTTCCAGAAACCAACTCTGAAAATCATTGCTATGCAGATAATGTGGCAATAGCTATCCAAACCAAGGATTTTGAGGAAGTAGAATACATTCTCCCTAAGGATCTGAGTTCCTAAGCCAATATTATGAGAAGTGGAGGCTATGTCCTAACCTAGATAATAAAGGTTGCTCGGATAGTGCAACAGAAGTATTATAAATTGGATTTGGAGGATAAAGAAGGTAAAAGGCACTGACTTAGTCATCCAGTAAGTTCAAAACTCAGCTATTTCATCACAAGATACCTGATTATTAACATTTTGATATATTTGTTTCTGTAAGTCAAATCCTTAGGCACATATCCAAACTGTAAATCCTTCTTTTTTAAAAAAAATATATTCCTAGAGTTTTACATGAAGAATGAGGACCATCAGAAACTCTTCAAATGCCGACCATTGATTCTATTTAATTTATTTTTAATATAAACAGATGAAATGGGAAGTTGGCACAATGAAAAGCAATGCATTAACTTCAAAATCATATGCAGAAAATAAAGGTCCCATTGGGACATTCATGAGCATCATGCAGGCTGATTCACACCTATTGATAAATGGCATTTTGTGAATTGCTGTATCAGTCATTTTGTGAGCGTACCTAATACATGGATTCAAAATTCTAAGTATACAGCAGAACCTCTGCTCACAATCATATTTCCTTTCATAACTTTGGTCTCAACCTGAGTTGAGACCTGAACCAGAGGTGGTATTCAGCAGGTTCTGACCAGTTCTAGTGAACTGGTAGCAGAAATTTTGCGTAGTTTGGAGAGCTAGCAAATACCAAAACTGACTGGCCCAGCTCCCATCTATTCTCTCCCTCCCGAGTCCCAGCTGATTGGCTGGGTCTTCTTTGGTTGCCTTGCACAGGAGAACAGAGCTGGAAAGCAGGTTAGTGGGGCTGGGGAGAGAATGGGATTTTGCAATAACCTTCCCCCAGAAGTGGGGAAGGAATGGAGATTTTACAGTATCCTTCCCCTGGAGTGGGGTGGGAATGATGATTTTACAGTATCCTTCCCCTGCCATGCCCACCATACACATGTCCACACACAGGACCAGTAGTAAAAATGTTTGAATCCCACCACTGCCCAAATTTAATTTTGGAAATTTGGTACTTCCAAAAAGTGGTGCAGATAGGGGAAATTGGCCATGGGGAAAAAGTTATGAATGTTTTGGTCAGAACCCAATTTGGTCGTGGTCAGAAGCATTTGTGAGCAGAGGTTCTACAATACTCCCACTATAAACTGGGTCACTTTTCCACAAATAGATTGTAACAGAGAAATAAATTAAGCTCTTTTACCTTAAAAGGGGATTTGTTGGCATTTATTGTTGTATATAAATTTGGAGTGCCAGACTGAGAAAGAATATCCAGGTAGGTAAGGTATTGTTGAGGGGTATTGGCAAAGCTCACATCTTTTTCCAAATTCCTGTCAGGTGCCTGTTTTGAAAACCTAGGCAACACAAACAAGGTAAATAACATTATCTGTATTCAAAAAATACACAATAGATTTTTTAAAAATAACATATAACCTGTGTTATACGGTACATGATTGATATTTTCAGGGAAGGGAAGAGAATAGTGGCATCATTAAAAAGTAGAAATATGCCATGGCAAAAAAAAAATCATATTAATAATAAGCTTTTTTTTAAAAAAAATAGAATAAGTCTTAGGCTAAAAGGAAGAAACAGAATTTATGAAATAAAAAAACAGTTCAACAAAATAATTTGAAGGAACACATACCAACTGTAAAGCATTTCAGCAAAGTTTCATTCTCTGTTGTGACTAAGTGTTTTTAAATCTCAGTTTTAGGGCTGTTATCACATGAACTGGTTTTTTTAAAAAAAACAAACCCATTAAACATTCCCCTCTTGTTAGGAAATTCTTAAAGGGAGAGCTCTACTCTTTGTGTGTGTGTGTGTGTGTGTGTGTGTGTTTCCTAGAAAGTATCATCACAAGGAGTTGAGTGCTACCCTTAATGTTTTATATGTATGTATGCATAGATGACATTCCTAGAAAGTATCATCATAAAGAGTAGAGTGCTACCTTATATAAATATTGGGTAATTGCCATTTACAAACTTCCCAGCTAGCCTTCCAACAAAATCAATGGGGAAAGCCAAATTATTTAACAATCACATATTCAAATTAGCAATGTAGTTAACAACCATGGTAAATATATATATATATACATATAGTAAAATAAGATGTGATTCAATTTAATAACCAATTTGCTTAGAAAGAAAAATTCTGGTCTCAATTGTGATCATAAATTGAGGATTATCTATGTTTTCCCTCTGTAATCTTATTCTTATCCATGTTTTCCATTTAATTCATTTAGTACTATATTTTAATTGTAGATCTTGTCGTGCACCATCCAGAATCAATCCAGAATTTGTGTAAGATGGGCAACCATATAAATTTGACAAATAAATAAAATGCATGAAGATATACCTGGTTGAATCTTCAGGATCTTCAGATGAGGATGTTTCCAGATGCCAGTCATGGGTCTTAGGGAGATTAGAAAGCTCACGGGCAATAATATGCTGTGTATAATCATCATGCCATGTAAACCCTGCAAAATAGTTGCAAAAATACTGATCCAGAAAGTTGAGAATTTGGCAAACAAACCAGGAAAAAAAAACATACTGAACTTGCACTACATAAGAAATTATCACAACGCATTCAATGTTGGTAGGCTTTTTTTAATAAATCAATTTCCTACTTGTTTTAGAAGAATAGCAACAGGATTCCTTGTTCCTGCAAATTATTGGGCTATCTGTACCGAAATACTGACATTTTTAATGTTTTTTTTCTGAAAAAGGCAGTGGGTGTTATGATGAGATTTTAAAAGATTATATTTAATAGAATTTTAGCATTTTCTTAGTCACAGAGGAACTATAAAGCAAGCAGCTTTATTGTCTAATGTGGTTACTTTTCTTTAGTTACAGAAAAGAGCTGGAATGAATTTCAGAGCTGAATAGTGAGATATATAATGAAAAGTTATTTCTCAGAACTGTATCTCATTAGGTTTGTAAAATATTCCAAAATATATCACCATTTTATATGATGTTGCTGGAACAAGCTAATAATATCTGGGCATGCATTACACTGAAAACTATAACCATCAATAGCAGAGTAATCTATCTTGGGATCAATGTGTGTTTATTTTACCTCAACTAATAGTTTTAAACAAGGTCAAAGTATCATTGTGAAAGTAAATTCAATGTAATTATGTATTAATTACATCCCTTATTAATCTCATGGTAATTATACTTAGAATAATGATGTGATCCCAAGAATAATTACTAGTTTGTAAATGTTATGATTAACATTTTTAGCTCATATAGGATTACCACCTGGAATTATCCATAATGTTTTAATATGTCTATATTATTACCAATATTGAAATTCAACTTTCTAATATCTTATTGTACAATGAAATATTAATCACTGATATTGCAACAGCAGTGTTAATACTTCTTGGTCAATTAATCTGAAGAGCAGCTTTATATTTTATAAAAAAATATTCATTTATTAGCACTAATCAGTTTTAATGAGTACTTCAAAAAGAATGTTCAGTTCCATAGGATTTATTTCCATTTGATACTATATAACCTGTGAAACAATAGGTCTAAAAATACACACAGTAATATGGCAACGGTTTTATGAACTGTGACATATATGTCAACAAACAAAATACAAACAAAAAAATTAGATGTCATTTTCATTTTTATTTTACACTGCAGGCATTGGTTTACATTAAATATTTAGCCTAAGCTGACACAATGGAACAAAGACAACAGGACAATGAGTTGTGAAATGACTCTATTAGATAGAAAACTCTATTTTAGAAATTCCTAAGAAAATAATATGTCTTGTACAGCTTTCTTTTTCAGTGATATTATTTTAACACCTGAGCTTTTAAACAGTATTCAGAATCTTTTAATTTGCCAACTACAACATCATTTTCATTTCCAATAGCTCCTTGTCTTTATAGGTAATTTGTAAAAAATTAAAAAACGGTGGAAGATTGCACCCCAAGGTTTTCACTTTTATTTCAATATGCACCCTTCCTAGAAAAAAAGGCAAAAGTTTGGGAGGAATAGATGAAAGTAAGAATTGAGAAAAGTAGGTTTTAAAAAGTGTGAAATCATTTTCTTTTTTTAATGGAGGATATTTTATAATTGGTCATACTCAATATGGTAGCTATACTTGAAATGAGCAAGGCTCATTGCGTGGGGTATCTTGACTGTGTAGCCTAGTGTGGCTTGAAATTCCAAATGTGCTTATCGGATACAAAAGGCTACAATGCCTCAACAATTGTGAAAAGGTTTTAAAAAACTTCTGAGAATAGGAAGAGACCAACTTTGATCAAATATAATACCAATCTACACTTTAAAGTTATACAAACTAGCCCCACCCATTCCTTTCTCTCGCAATATATTGAATTCTACTTTTTATCTAACTGTACAGGAAGTCCTTGATTTATGACAATGATTGAGCCCAAAAAAATTCATTATTAAGCAAGACAGTTGTCAAGTGAATTTTGCCACATTTTACGACCTTTCTTGATACAGTTCTTAAGTGAGTCACTGCAGTTGTTAACATTTCTGACACAGTTGTTAAGGGAAACTGGCTTCCCCATTGACTTTGCTCTTCAGAAGGTTGAAAAGGGGGATCACATGGCCTCTGGACACTGCAACCATCATAAATACATGCTAGTTGCCAAGCATCCAAATTTGAGGATGACCATGGGAATGCTGCAACAATCATAAGTGTGAAAAATGCTTATAAAGTGCCATCTCAAGGCTGCTCAGCATCACCTAGTGCTGAGATGGGTTGCAAACGAATTTAATAAATAAACAAATCAGTTTCTTTCGGTACCTTTGAATGATTTCTAAGCTAATGGTTGTAGGTCTAGAATCCCCTGTATTTTTTTTGTTTGATCTCTAATCAAGTTTGTTTTTTATCTTTTGTTCCATACCAGCATGGTGAGTATTACCCTTTGCACCAAAAAACAAAATTTAAAAAAAATCTCTGAAGATTCACCTTAACGGCTGTTTATTGCAATTTTAATTCCAGCTATTTTAACCATCCGTTTTATTAACTACACAGAGATTAAAAATCAATGGAAAGCAAGGATAGAATATTTCAAAAACTATCCCTCTTTTATAGCTGCGCTCTTCACAGTGCATGGTTAGGGCTAAGCAGATCTCTGAGACAATGCTTCATTTTGACAAAAAAATCCTTCAAAACTTATTCACAAAGGAGCCCAAACATAGATATGCATAGTTTTAGTAGCAAAAAATCCATGTTACTTCACTTCACTCTATCCTTAGCCTCTTCTGACATTTACAATATGTTGATGTTTAGATGTTGCTTCTGCAACATTTCTCTTCTCCTGGCGCAGATAAACATCTACAAAGTACAAAGCATCATTCACAAAGATTCATGGGTAGCACGGAAAAACAATCAGCTACATTCTTTAATTTGTTTGTTTTGAGGAGAAAATCTCAACCCAGGATGCTCAATAAAATAGCTTTCACAGGAGCATTAACACCAAGTAAATGCCCAGAATCAAAGTTAAGTCTGATAAACAGTAGCAATTTTACTTGGCAATTTCCCAACCCTTTGTCTCTACTATTATAAGCTACTGCTTCGCTACAACTCAATTACATCAATTTAACACATAAGGTTATACAGGGCGGCAGTTTTTCCATGTTACTAATGTAGAATTGTTCGGTAATACTACCAATTAAGAATCCCTGCTGGAGCTCTGCCTTTGGTGAACATGTTCCTACTGAAAATTCCCACCAATGGGCAATGAAAAAAACAAGCAGCCACATTAAGGAACCTAGTTAAGGCAGTAGTCCTGAAAAGTTATTAATTAAAACAGAGAAATACAAACTGAAACATTATATGATTAAATAGCAATTACTGAAGAAATAAGTAAGATATCTGTCACATGAAGCAACTAAAGAGTTTTATGGAAACTTAGAAATGAAAACTTTGATTACAACAGAACTGTACCAGGCTTCATGAGGCATGGCAAACAGCCTCCAAAAGAATCTTACTTTTTTTTAATGCTATTTAGAGTATACAGCTATTATATTATATTTTATTATATTATATTATATTATTTTATAACTACTTATATTATATTATATTATATTATATTATATTATATTATATGATTATATTATATTATATTATATTATATTATATTATATTATATTATATTAT